AGTTCGGATGATTGTCTGGCAGACTGGCAAGAAAGAGTTACAGTGTGATTATCAGCTTAAGCTAACTAATGCTGCTGTCAGAAGTGATGTTCCCTCCACTCAAGGCCACATGTTCTTCCCTGGTCTGGCAGACTGTTGATTTGGTTGTACTGTTAGATGTTTCTGCTTGCTAATCTGACTGAAAGCTATCCTGATAGTAAAGGAGTTATTAGCTGTAGGCACATGCCTGAAATGCCTCTGCTGCTAAATGAGCTTCTCAGTGCCAGTGAAGACCTAAACACTCCTCCCGAGGATAGTGCAGACAACATCTAAGTTAGGAGCTTTTCTTTACCTTGACTTTAGGAAATGTAACATTAGACTTTGTGAATCATCCCTCAAACAGCCAACTGTGAACATTAATATTTTGATTTTGAATATAGTAAGTGACTAAGTGAGGTGGCTACATGTTAAAAAGCAGAAAGAGCTGTTTTAAGATAAAGTTACCTTATGCTGATGTCATTTGGTCCTTGGTAGTTGTTTCAGTTTTCCACTGAAGTTGAATAGACAAGTTATTTGCTCTTCTCATGCAGTGAATTTCTGATTCCATTCATGAAGAAGGGCAGTTCGTTACCTATGGAGTATTAATTGATAGAAATAACAAGTCACTGAGTATCAAAACTCAAAAGGGCTTGAATGGCTATTTGAGAAATAATAGAGTAACTATAGGCTGGCATCTAGAGCATGTGAAATAAGGTGGTTTTTTTGTTTGTTTTTTTGTTTTCCAATTCATAAGTCTTATACAATCCTTTTCAGCTTATTTTGAGTGGATATCATTATATGGTATTTTTGAGGTGGGTTTTTTTTTTTCTTTTTATATTTTGTAGCAAACTAAAATCTCTCTAATATTTTGACCAAAAGTTCACAATAAACTTTCTTTTATCTTTGAGTAGGCTTTCAGAATGCCAAACTTAAAGTTGCCATGATATTTTTAAGATTAAGTTTTCTATTCTTAGTATGTAAACCTTTTTTCTTGTATTTTCTTAAATATAAATAAAGGCCATATTGCTGCATGCTGAATCAACAATAAATATTTCCTGTGAATTCAATTTCATTTCCAAAGTTGCTGACCGGGCTTCTATGTGTGATTGTATCAGATGACCATCTGGGAGACATCTGTTAAACTTTAATGTCTCCCAGACGGTGAAGATGTCCTGCAGTCCGAAGTAAAAAGCTGAGATAACCTTCCACTTCTCTACAAGTGTTCTTTAATGAACGGCAAACAATAAATAATAAAAACCGATCAAATTGTTGCTGGAATTCTGTGGATAAGACCCACTTATGAACTTGGCAGTCTTGTACTTGACCATGACACATACTTGTTCATTGATTTTGTTCTATATCTATCTAAAGGACAGTATGTCATTCATCTTAGAGAAACTGAAAAGTTTAATTTAGTTGTGAACTTACTTCTCTTGTTGTTTTCAGCTACCCTAGTAGGCTTTAAGGGATTACTAGTGCTTCAGAAAATAACCATATAGCCTTTACTAGATATATTATTAATATAATATAGCCATATTTTTACAAGCTGTATTAATTTCAGTTAAAAAAATATTCTCTCAGAGCAATGCATACACAACATAAGCAAAAAAAAACCTCAAAACAACAACAACAACAACAACAACAAACAAACAAAAACAAAAAAAAACCAAAACCAACAAACTTCACTGGACATGGAGTCTCCATACCCATAACTGTTAACTTTCAGAAAACTATGCAAGTAAGGAAGAGTCTGTGTTAGGCATAATTTTACTTCATGCCAACCCCCTCTATACTATAGATATATTCATGCCCTCCCATTAAGAATCCACTCATTTGGCTTTATTCTAGCATTATTTAAAACAAACAAACAAATAAAAAAACAATAGAGAAAGCTCACTACACTGTGAACATTGTCAGGCTTAGAATAATTTGCATCTTTTGAATCCAAGCCCCGTACTTCAAATTAAGGTCATTTGTCTTCTTGAGGAGTGTCTTGGTACGGTACTAATAAGACACTGACATTAACTAGTTAGCACTAAGCTTATCTTATTAGTTAATGTGGCACAGTACACATACATTTAAATATTTTACCACTGAAAAAGAATAATATGCAGTGAATATCACTGAACTGGAACAATGCCCTGGTATATTATAGTGTGAAATAAATCTGCCACTGGCACTTAACACCGTTGCTCTGTGAAAAGAAGGAATGACTTGCAGATACAAATGTTACCATCAATGCACAATTTTGGTAAATATAATAAGTTTGCTTGATTTATTAAAGTATAATGAAAATAGTTATATTATTTTGTTTTGTTTTTAATAATTATGTTCCAATATGGTTATGTTTACATAAAAGTAAATCCAAGATTAATTTCTTTCCAGACTTTTTGGTAATCTGTTCTGCTTCTTGATTATGGATACTGTTCAGCTGAAAAGTATAAAGGCAGAAGTGTGAACATGATCATTCCTCAGACATAGCATTGCAATGTCCTGACCACCCTGCAGACTGACTGTGCTGCAGATCTGCTAGGATTTTCTTAATGATCTTGGACAGCTATGCTTTGCATGATCATTAGGTTGTGCTAAGCTGTTCTACTCTACGGTGTCTAGTACAGTCAGTACTTTTGTAATGTAATTTTGAAAACAGTCTCTGTTCCCATTCTTCAACAAAATCATCCTACAGTAATGTCACCAAAACAAACTCTCTAGTAGGCATTTGTCCTGTTTTAATATGCAACTCAATCATCACTGAAATTTGCTGCTTTTGCAGCAAAAATCCAATTAATTCCTATGTTCATTCCACTCAGGAAAAAAGCTGTTTTTCCCTTCTTTTATGCTGAAGGCATCCAGAAATGACAGGATATTATGTGTGTGGACTTGCCTAAACTAACGTCAGATCTAAGAACGAGGGAAGGCATCAGGAAGCAGTTATTTGATTGAAACCAGACATAACAGATACCATTTTCTAAAATGTGGCAGCAGCTAAAAAGTATGCTAAGAAAGTTCTGTCTTGCTGTTGCTTGTCTTTTGCTGGCTGGGTACAGAAAAGCAAGGATCAAATATGTCTCAGTAATCTGAAAACAGCTACTGCAAGTAAAATGTATCCGTCAAATCCGATATAGTTAAAGCCAATTTACACTGGGACAAGTACCTATAAGCAAGTTTGCAGGGAATCAGTGCCTTAGAAGTGCAAGACAAGCACACTTACAACAGGTCCAGTGAGGCTGTGACAGATAAACCTACTAAACGTGAGCAAACGCCATGAGGCAGGTAGCTAAATCTGATGCTATCACTAGTTTATTTCTTTTACATATAACTTAAATATAACTCTGACCTGTAAATTCTATTCATATCTAGCCCATGTATCTTTACCTTCATGACTGGCCTTCTACTCTCTGGCTTGCTTATCCTCCCAGTTTTTGTGTGCAATTCCACTCTGTAAAGTGATGAATTTTTCTTTTAAATATTTATCATTATATCTCTTCAGCATTTGAGCCAACAAATGAGGTAGAAAAGGAAATTAAATTTCTTCTGATTTACTCAAACTTAGTTTAACTGCTAAAAAAATGATACTGCAGAGCACATAAGAGCATACTGTATCCTATTGCAGAAGTGGGAAGACTGGCAAAAACAGTCATTCATGGAATGCCAGAGCATTTCTAATTATTGGAACATGTCACAAACCTGTTTTCCATATTGTGCCAAATTATAGGCAAGCAGAACAGCACACAGTAACAGCTTTGCTGACTTGTCCAAGCCTTGAACAGGGTCATCTGCATTTCTTGGTTCTTAGACTTCTGCTTACACTGTAGTTTCTGGCATTTGTGGTGTCTAATGCAGCAAGGGGTGAAAAGTCCAAAGGAGAGGAGTGCACGGAAAGTGGAGGAGAAGTAGACTAAAGCAGGATAGTTTGATTTTAAGATTCCCCAGTATCTTCCTCAATTGGCAATACCTCTGTGTTCTACTCACTTTAGAATCCTGTATTAGCTTTGTTCGACTTCACTTATTTCTTCAGGTTCATTATTAGTCTGCATCTTATATATTAGTCTGCATGTTATATAATCTTTCATAAGGACATATGCACAAATCACTTTTATGGATGATTCAAGTTCAACTATTCTGATTTCACACATATTCCAAAAGCTGAAAGCTTCTTTTGTTAAAACTGAGCAATAAAGTTTTAAGAGAGAAAAATCAACTTGACATAATGCATTTTAAACATCAGCATACATGCAGTTATCTGAGCAGGTGGCATAAGCATGTTCATCTCTGCCCATTTGTCTTAACAAATAAATAATTATTATTTTCTGTTATGAAGTCTTTCTTTCGTAGAGAAACACAGTGTGTTGTATGTTATAATTTTTATATTTCAACTCCCTCTTAGTAAGGGTCCTATCATGTATGTTTAGTAGCAGCAGAACAATGATTCCTGTTAGGGAAAATGTAATGATGCTCTCATTTTATGCAATTCCACTTAGTAGAGTGAGACTTTGAGAACAATAGAAAATGATTTATTTCTGTCACAATGACAAAGAAGTTAAATTTCTTTACCTAGACTATTTGGACTGACAGGCTGTCAGAACTGGTTCTTCTGTTCCAAAAATGAGAATCTTATCAGCCACAGAATAAGAAAATAAACTTTGGATATTCTGACCTTGAATGACCTCTTTTATATGCTCTGTATGCCTTACCTTTATATGATCTGTATTAGTTTTTAGGTTCAGCTTCAGACAGTTTGACCCTTCTCATATTTTTGCTTCAGAATGATCCCTTAAGTTTTAAAAACCACTGATTTCTCTTTGTTTTCCTATCTATCTGTTGGGCATTTTATCTGCTCAAGGAGATAGTTTAGGTGCACAGAAACCTCATGTGTTCCCATAAGTCCAAAGAGCAAGTTCATAGTCTTTTCTGTGTTCAAGATGTGATTCCGTGTTTGGAGGTAGAACTTCCTACTAATCTAAACCCTTCTATCCAAACAGGACTAGTCTTCCGGTCTTGATTTCAACTTTGGAAGATTTTGCATTAGAAGCTTTAAGAATTGCATTCAACTTTCATTTGCCTTCAGGTGCCTACTAGGCTGAATATTTTGAAACTGCATTGTGTCAAATGCCTAAAGAAAAGATCGATGTGTAATGGAGATGTGATTTCTCAATTAATCCCAAGCAGGCAGGAGATTCGGGTAAAGCTTCACCTGCAAAAGATTGGAGGCAAGGTTAGGACTTCTTGAGTGGGATCAGTCTGGCTAAATATAAGTATCTACCTCTTGAGCTGTCTGTCCAGACTCAATCCTCGCCTAGTGGAGGTCTTGACAGTATAATCCATGGAGTTTGTATCTCCAGTGTTATGTCCACTTTTTGATGAGAAGAACTGTGAGGAAAATAAAGCAGTTGGGAGCACTTACAGAAATATGAAACTCTGCTGAAATCACACTGATTATCTTTTGCACTTATTCCAGACAACATAACTAGTTGCTAAATGCAATTTACTACTACATATGGCAGTCTGTGACATAAGATCAACACTTTTGAATATTTAATTCAAATAAGGAGCTTTAATTCCTAGACTTATTCATAATACAGATACGATAGTATAGGCACTAATAAATGAACACTAATTACTTTCTGGGACTGTAGAATCAGAAGACTTAATTAATTTTGAAAAAGCCTTTCCTGTGTCATGTTTTTTAGGTGGTTTGACTCAAATGTAGTTGTATTTATCATTTCACACATTCAGCTACAGACTTCAAATGTAATGTAATCACCAGATCTAATGATATAAAATGAGTATCAATCTAGTAAATTATGTTATTCACATTGTGCAAACCAAATTCAGTCATCCTGTAACATGTAACTTTCCTGCTTTGTTTCCACTTTGTTTAACCAGCAGAAAAATAACATAATTTTATGCATAGTAGCTATCAATTAAAAATAGAATACATTAAGTGTATTGCCTGCCATTTGTGCTTCAGGAGTGTTAATTTTCTAATGTTTGGTAACCAAAGCAAAGTAAGAAAGGAACATAAAGAAAGTCAGTTATATTCTTGTACTGATTTGAATTTAAAATCTTAGGCACTCAGCTGATTTACAGTACTGTTATGCATTGACATCGTTTTGTCCGTGAATCTGTGTCAACTCACTACTGCCTTCTGATCTATAGTTCTGCTATACTTATGGTCTATTTTGTCTTTCATCTTTCTCTTTTTGGAAGATTTGACCATCATATGCACTTGAGATGTGAAGTTGCAACAAAAAAAAAAATAGTGTGAGTACGTAATTGCTGAATCCGTTTTGTCTTACTGGTTTTTACTAACATACACTTACCTCCACAGTTACCACATTACCTTTAATATATTTAGTTTATCACCTTTGTTATCAATCTATTACAAATAAATTCTGCTTAGTCATATCCTGCTAACTGAGATCACTGCAAGTATTCAGATTTTACTAGTTCTTACAGATTTTGTAACGGAAAAACTATCTGTAATTGCTATGGATGCTCTATATCATATCAGATTTTCTTTAGGTAAAACTACTCCTGCATCTACAGCCTGCAATTTACATACATTTACAATTCACTGTTGAAGATTCTTACTAAAATCTTATTAAATATTCTACAAACAGCACTGAGCACAACAATGCATCCATACTTTTTTCAAAGTACAGTTTAAAAGAAAATACCACAGAAATACTGGTGCATTCAAACCTGGCTGGTCAAACAGAAATTTCACTTAGAGAAATTCAAATAAGTCCATAGAACTTATAAATTTACAAAAATATTTAAATATATATCTTACATATATCAGATATATCAGTTTGATATTATTTTATTTAAATAAGATACAATAAGGAAATTTTAGAAATTATGTGTTTTGCATGTGTATTGATGTCTACTGCCTTTGATATATTTAATGTAACAGAAAGAGTTGTTCAGAAAGATCTCACCAGCTGTTACACTGTTGGTGCACTTAGCAAACTCCACAGAAGGTACTACACCAAATACATTAAAGTAAGGTTTAATGTTCTAAATACAGTTCTCAGCTTTGACATGATCTAGCATCCACTGCAGTAATTTGAAGACTTAAAACAGTTTCACTGCATTTTAAAACAGGCCCCAGGCTCAGTGCTTCTTTCACCCCACTTTTTCTAACAACAAAAGAATGTAAGAAATGTCTAACAAAAAGCAGACTAATTTGTCCATCTCCTTAACTATTTTGTATCCAGCTATGATAGTTTTGAAGAAAAGTAGTAAGAATCAGATTGTGTAACACTGTAAGAAACACCCATATTTCTGCCCAAAGGAAGAAATGTGTTCCTTCAAGGACCTTATTATAAATTTTGTCCTAGCAAATGTTACTGCATGTGTTATCCCTTTTGAGCTTGACCTTTCTCCTTCCACATCTGCCAGAACAGGAGCTCATTCTGGTGAATAAGGTTAATTACACATTAGACACAAAATCTTAGTAGCCTTTTAAATGTTTAGAAATCAAGGGCCAATGTCCTTTTCTGGACTATTAACTACACTGACCACAGGCAAAAGTAAGGACAACTTTGTTTTTTTTTTTTTCAAAAACAGAAACAGAATTACTTTATTTCAACAGTAGCTCTGTTGATGCTAATGGAGCCACACTAACTCATACATTCAGGAGCAAGCTTATCAACTATATGCTTCATTTACTGCTTTATCCAGTTTTTGGTGATTGGAGGATTAATCTCACTTTTCTTCAGTTGACTCCAGAATGCGATGTATATTTGCAAATGTTGCATGAAGTTATTTTAGAATTTCTGTATGTGTTTTGCATGGGGAACTGGCAAGTATGACATTTCCTGTGGCTTAAAAAGAACATATATTTATAGCTCTGAATTTCCATAGGATGCATTGTTTCTGTCACAAATTTCTTGCATGAATACATGCTCTCTATGAGACTGAAATAAGAATATTTCTTGATTGACAATGTTTCCTTTTGGCATTCTCACATATATCAAATGGGTCCATAATTTTATTAGCATCAGATGATCTGTATTTTTGAAAATAGCAAGGGCAAATATATATATATATATAAAAAAAAAAAAAAGATAAATAAAATTTTAGGTCTATTCTTTGTTGAGTCTTCAGAAAAAAATTATGCAGTCTCAGAAGTGGGATAGGAAGTATGATTTCCTTGCAGAAAATTCAGCCAAATTAATGGAGTATGAAGAAAGAGAAAACTAAGGTTCCATTCTTGAACAGTCTTGTAAGAGTCAAGTTAAGATTCAAGACTGTACACAGCCTGTTTGTATTTGCTTTCTTGGCACTGTGGTTCAGGAGGTAGGAAGGCTTTATAACCACTGATGTCTCCTGTAGGGCATTGTAGTGCATAGCTGAGAAGTGAGAACTTACCTTTGTATGCTGGTTTACAGCCTTACCTTAAGATTAATAAGTAATGCTTCCTCACTGGGCCTTTCTGGGCTACCTAGTTCTCCTCTGAATGTAAAGGGAGCTTAAGTACGGCAGTATCAGAAAACTAAGGTTGCTTACAAATTTTTTCTTATGTTACTAGCAATGTTTATTTCACATTTCCAAATTGCTTCCTTGAGCACTTAGGCTGGCAGTTCACGTGAGGCTTGATCTTACAGAGGCAGGGTGCTCTGGCAAAAGAAGCCATACATCCTTTCTTGTTGATGTGTCTGTATCTCCCAAGCACTCCATCCCTTCTGTAACACCTTCATGCCAAGAACTGTATGGAAACGAATTGAAGAGACCTTGGCCTACTGCTGCTTTATTTTTACATAACATTTCCAATGTATTTTCTCCCTTTGCTGTCCATTAATTCTCCAGTAAACTGAGTCCATTTAGTAGAAGAGAGTCTGCCACTCCACCTTGAGTTTGATGGTGTTGCATAACCTAAGTTCACTTTCAACCTGTTTGTGCAAAGAATTTTGGCTACTCCACGTATTCTCTAATACTCACTTCAAGTCAGCTGCTTCCATGAATGAATATTAAATGCACTTGGCTTCTATTACAAGAAGCAGATGCAAAAAGGCTGAGAGCACAGTCAAAGAGAATTTGTTGTGTAATATGAATAAATAGCTTCTCAGATACTTCAGTCTTATATAGCTCTAGTTAATGAGAAGAAATCCTTTCATAAATACCTGACCCCCTTCTGGAAACCCAGAAGTAGTACTAAAAATGTCATTAAGAAGAACCAGACCTTTTCTTCTCAATTTCTGTAAAATCAGAATAATTTAACACTTCGGGGATTTGCTCTAAATCTGCACTGTGATGCAAATCACAGAAAAACTAGAAGACACAAAAAGAAAAAGACTAAACCTGGTAAAACAAAAGGGCAGTATTATTTTGTTATACCAGTATCCTGGTATTACAAAGGGACAATAACCATTTCTATCCTTCATATTTAAAAGTCTGTGATACTCAAGCACGTAACCAATAGAGGTCACTATCAACAGGGAAATGGAAGAGATTCCTCAGAGGAAAGCAAGACAGGGTTAATGCGGGGCTATCCGGCCGCAGCCAGCCGGATCTGGGGGCTGGTCCCTGGGCCGCGAGTGAGTCATCAGACTGCGAGGGGCCAGCAGGACCCTCCCGGGGCGCGCTGCCAGCAGCCAGGGGGCTCCCGGGGTTCTGAGCCACATCCACCCACTGCTCCATTAACTTGTTAGGTGGGAGTATTTTAATGCAAATTAAAAAAAAAAAAAAAAAAAAGTATTTATTCCCAGTATTTGATTTAGATTAATCTTTCAACTGTACTTTCAAACACTGCCTTTGTGATTATCTGAGCAAATTGACAGAGGCAGGGGTGCAGAAAGGATGAATTCCTGTAGGTTTGTATTGTTTATCTTCTGCTTTATCATATGTGATTATTGAATCTGCAATTTCGAGTATTTTAACATTGAAACAGCCGGTTAGTTGTTATCCTCTGTGAATTTGCACAGCTCGTGCAATTCAGTAGGTTAAGAATATCACTGCTTTGGAAGACATAAAAAGTGGGGAGGGGAAGGAAAGAAAAAGCAACTGAAAGCTGAGGTATGAAAAAGCTCATCTTCAAGACTTCATGCAGCTAAAGAGGAGGTAAAAGGGACCTCCTTTACCATTAACATTACCAAACTATTTTAACACTAAAGGCAATCTGTCATTTTGTGTAAATTCTCTTCTGCTTCTATAAACACAGCCGTAATCAATTAAAGACCGACTTGTGAAGGAGCTATTGTGTGCAGTTCCATTCAGACATTGCTGAGTTGTCTTTTAGACAGCCTGTGGGGAAACACTGGTAAGGTGATGGGAAAGTTCAAAGTGCCTAACTTTTCAATGTGGATTCTGTTATTGAGACCTTTTTCTGTCTGCTTTTTTCATATTGCTTATCATAGTTGGCGTTAGAAATGGGGAGATATTTCTATATCATTTTGGACATTTAACATTTTCTACATGTGCTGCTTGGGAGGTTCTGCAAATATTTTAAATTATTCTCTAGTATAATTCCTTGAGGGACTTATGCATAGCAACAAATCTATTTGTTTGAAAGTACTGAAAGAACAAACAAACGCTATAGAAACTATTCATGCATATGTACATGCATTTGTAAAGTGCGCATGGACTCAGTTCCTTACTAATATGACACCAATCTAATGCAATTTTGTGCAGTGAAATATAACCTGACTTACTGTAGAATGAGGATGAGAATTAATTTGCTTGGCACAAGCCCTTCAAAAAATTAGAGTTCAATTTCATATTAAATGAAAGGGTTGAATAGATCATTCTAATGTATCAAGTCATTATAGAAATATATATATATATATATTGTTTTATTGCACCTGATCACATGTGCCTTCACAGTTAAGGAATGTTACCAATATTTTCTGAAGCAACCAAGATAAACAAAGAAAATCAAAGGAAAATCTTTACCTTGGTCATTTTATTCTCTTTATTTTTGTTCAGTGAAGGCAAATATAAGGCTGAACAGAAAAAAATATATAGGGAGATTAATTCTCTCTCTCCTTTTAATCACTTTTTTTTCCCACTGAGAGTTGGTATGGATCTTAGGAACATGAGCAAAGACTGATAAAATGAAATAAAAGTGGATTTAAGAATTTTCCCCATCTATTTGTGTTTGAAGTAACAATAAGTATTATGAAATTTTAAGAATAGGCCATTAAAAACAAAAAAAAAAGAGAGAGAAAGAGAGAGAGAAGGTATCTAAAGACACGTGGGAAAAAAGATAACGGGTTGGTCATTTCTGTACAGTTTGGATTTCGTGTGTTTTCTGATGCATTTTATTTTCAATCCCTTGTCAATCTTCACCATATGGATAGAGGTAAGATTCTCCTAGATAAATATATTGTCCTCTAGAAATTTCTAAACACACTTCCCAGGAACTCAAGAATGACAGCATCTTATTCTAGGAAAAAAATCACTTCAAATTTTCATTAGGCCAGTCTTTTGGCATTAATTAGATGATTTTGGTGAGATAATGAAAGAAGAAAGTGGGAAGATCATAAATAAATTATCTCCCATAAAATACACAGAAAATAAATCATAGATTATGACAGATGTACTTCTCTTATAGTGCTTTAGCATCTAGCAATTAAAAGGAAAATGAGCAGTAGCTTTTTCTAGGGCACTCAGAACAGATAGAAACCCAGTCGTGTGCTATGCTAGTGCTAACCAGCAAACTTTCTAAACTTCATTTTTCTCTGAATGACAGCTTTTTGGAAGTTATACAGGAGAGCTTTGGTACATATTCCAGGCACTATGTAGATGAGTCAGGACACCTTAACTAAATCCATTCATTACTCTATCCCCAGTGGGACAGGCAAAAGCTGCCAATTTGATGTTGGTAACATGGATGCTGCATTAGGGAATTGGCTAAGCCTGCCAAAATTCATTCCTGAACTTTAGCAGCCACAAAAGAGTATTTTTCTGTCGTCTGTAATTGATTCAGAGCCAGGTCCCAAAAGGACAAGCTTCCTTTTGTGTGCCATCTATACGAGGGTCTAGGACACACAGTGCTGCAACTTTTTTTTTTTTAGCTAGATCACTGGAAACATCTTTAAAAAGAAAGGGGAAAAAATCATCTAAAATGTCATAAAAATTCCTGAGTTTTTCAAGATACATTATTTATTAGCTTTAGCATTGCGTTCTGGTCTATACTTTGAGAAAACAGTCAGTTTATTATATCCTGAAAATTTAATGTCAATGAAGTGTTACCATTTTGAGATGAAATGAAGTCTGAAACCAAAACAAAAAATAAATATATTTATACAAAAAATAAAAATTTCAGAGCTTCAGCTCACTGAGCACAGTACTTATTATCATTAGTTCATATTCAGGTCAGATTTTTCCTTCCTTTGAAAAACAGGTTGAAAGACCCTTTGAAGACTTCTCCCTTCTTCCCCTCACCCAATCTGGTTACAAATTTACTGAAATTATTCATCCTTACTTTATGTTTCACATTTGCATGTTCTGTACTTGCTGTGTAATGCATTAAAGGTTTCATGACACTAGATTAAGTACTCCTAACATGGATTATGAAAAGCTATACAGGTTGTTAGAGTCATCAATCCATCCTGGCAACATTCTCAACTCATTCTGTAGAAAATATCCCAGAGATTTAGCTAGTAGGACTCTCAGTAAAACTGTTGGCCAGCCCAAGTAGATTTTTGTAAAAACAATTCACCTGTGTGCTTGTGTTTAAATGGTTTAAAGAGAATATTCTCACAGTTTGTATTATCAGTTTTCACCTATCTGTTGAAGTAGGAATCATCTGTCTGATTTCAAGTACATTCCCTGTATCTTTTCCTTGTATTGAGGTACAAATATATTCTAGAAGTACTTTTAAAAAATGCTTATTAAACATACAAGTTCTTTCACATGAAAGCATACAAGTGCTTCAAATGCTTAGGATAGAGACAAGAACAGAGAAATCTGTGTCTGGAGGGCTAATCATAGTTCAAACTCGATGGTTTTAGTGGTGAACCATTCCTTCTCCTTCCCACCCACTCAGCAGGAATAAGCAAAAGAACCCAGAAAGGGTGAGGCCCAGTCACTATAAATGCTCAGATGTTTAATGAATGTGCCATGGCTTTCACCTACAAACTGCAAGGCCTTCTCAAGCAGACTCCAAATTCCTGCTGAAATGAAGACTTTCTTTCCTGGACTAGGCCTGGCATTCCTGTGAAACAATGGCCCTTTTCAAGTAGTCTCTGAAATTTCACAGGTGAAGGGAACAGGGCAGTCATTTGATCCCAACCACAAGGAGCCTGTTAGCATTTTTTAAAGTGAAGACAGAGTCTGTCATGGAAGCACTGGCAAAACTGGTTAGTGACAGAAAAAGGCAATCTAGACCCACAGCTCACGGGAGCCCTGTGAAGCATTAATCAGTTTGTCTCTTAGCTCATGCTACAGCTTCTTTTTCAATTTTTTTCAAGCGTGGGCAACACGGCCTGCAGAACTCAGGAGACAGGTCTCTAAGTTGTATCACGAGTTGTGGAATAAAAGTTTTCCTTAGTGAGAACTTCCATTTGAGAATTTACAAATTACAGGAAGCCATTGGCAGTATATTGTGTACTGGGGGGCACTTGAAACTAAAACATGAATTAAGGCTTTTGAAAAATGCTTTAGTGGCCTTATTTCAGAAAAAAAAAAAACACAAAAAAAAACAAACAAGCAGACCAGCTTAATTCCAACTGATTGGTTATAGCAGCATTAGAAAACATTAGAAAACAGAAGTGTATTGAGATTATTTAGGAATGGGATGCTGAATACTACCCCCACATTAATTACAGAAAGCACACAGAATTTAAAAAGATTGGATTTGCAATCTCCTTCACTCCAAACATCGAAACATGGTTTGATGGCAGAAGCCTCCCAGATGATTTGACGGATGGGAGGTAAATATTCAGAACCAGCAGTTCTTAAATTGGAATGTATCACAAATTCATGTGATGGAAGATCGTTTTTGTTGCATAGTTAACAAAAAATAAAAAATAAAATAAACAACTTTTATTTATTAGTTGCATTGAGAGTTATTTTGCCTCTAAAATTCAGAGAATTTATGCATTATGTGCCTACTGAATTACAAGGCATATTATGCTTAAGCTTTTTTTTTTTTTTTTTTTTTTTTTTTTTTAGGAGAAGGGGCTACTTAAATACTCAGACTCATGAAACAGTTCAAACTTGAACAACTTCATGAGAGCCAATCTGGGTACATTAAACAGGTAAGCTAAAGTACCAGCCAGGAGACCATTTACATTTTTGAGATAAGCTATGTAATAACTGGCAGGTGAGATAACAGTGTTTCTTACATGCCTCTCACATAGTCAACTGCGATCTTGGTTTTATGAAATGATCACTTTGTAATAGTTGTTCATGGAATCACAGAAAGGTTTAGGCTGTAAGGGCCCTCTGGAGGTCATGTGGTCCAACTGCCTTGCTAAAGTAGGGCCACCAACTCATGGTTGGCCATGAGTGTGTCCATGTGGCTTTAGAATATCTCTAAGGAGGGAAGGTCCACAATCTATCTTAGAAAACTGTTCCATTGCTCAGAAACCTACACAGTGAATAAGTGCTTCCTGACAGAACTTGTGTTCCTCCATTTTGTGTCTATTGACTCTTCTCATGAAAGTATTTCCCAGCACTGCAGGGGAATACTTGCTTCAGCATTTTCTTCCCTTTAAGTCTTTGGACCATAATGAAAATTAGTGTCCTATTGTTTGTCTTCCACTACAAACTAGCAAACAAGCAAATATATAAATAAATAAGAATCATAGAATTTTAGAGTTGGAAGGGATCTTTAAAAATCCCACAGAGTGTCAGAGAACAGATTCATGTTTAACATTTTTTGAAAAATCAATGAAGAAACACATTTTCTCAAGTGCAAAGACAATGATATCAATTAGCTTAACTAAAAGCCAGTTTAACAGTATTGACAGTCTGCATTTCTATCTTGCACCCAAATTTTACTCTTTGACAAAATGCAGGATTTCCATCTTTTGAAACACATTTACCATTATCTTATACGATATCATTTTTTACTCCTAAGTTTTCTGTATGTATGTATACACTTTACTCACCGTCAGGAGGAGATGAAACCACATTGATATTTGAAATAACAATTAAAATAATGTAAACAGTAAAACTTTTCTAATTGTACTAAAAGCAAAAATGCTATGCCGTGAATTTGCATCTGCTTTCCTAGCCTGTATCCTTTAGCATATATTTTCCCTGATTACATCTGGCTATATATGTTCCCTGATGTGCACCACCAAACTATAGAAATCACTCACAAATAACTAGCTATTTCCAGTAAGGCAACAAGATTCCTAACCAGTAACAAAATCAATATTTAAATTATTTTTACAAACTATTCAAAGTTCATGCAGACTATAGAGCATAGCTACATACTTTCTTCTAGATAGATTCCATAACTACTGTTTCTCTGTTAAAAAAAAAAAAAAAAAAAAAAAAAGCCTTCCTGTTTGCTGCTAAAACTGTTCTCTCGTAATGGGCTTTTACTTATATTATTGTATTAAACATTAACCAAAGTGCCCATCCTATAATTTTGGTTGTATTTTAAGTACATCATCTTGGTATTTCACTGCACATTAAAAATACATACTGCTGGGGCACAGAGTTTGAGAGATAATCTTCAATTTCTATGTATAAATCTAAAATCTTAAATGGTGATGATCAGCTGAAGAACTGTTCAAACTTCTGTGAAGGTTATCTGTATATGGTTGTTTTTTGTTTTTTGTTTGTTTGTTTGTTTTTTAAAAGACTCTATCTACTTATTCCACAGAATTATGAATATTGCCTCAGTAGTTTAAGAAACAGAGTTCACTTGAATGACACAGACAGGAAAACCAGTTTGATAACTATGCAGAATCTAGCAAACAAACCCTCATGCTCAGTACTTTTCTTCCTTTATGAGTCAAAGACAACAGAAATTAAAAAAGCTACAGCAATTACTGCAACAGCTCTGTTGCATTGCTCTGCAAAGATGCGTGCTATAAGCAAGAAATATATGACTCCACTGTTTTGGAAATTAGCATTTTTTTACTTCTGGACTTAGTTCCTGCTAGTGACTGTGAGATTAACAGCAAGTTTTTCTGTACCTACCAAGAATTTGAGTGTTTCTACACTATTTCGAGGCTAATTCTTTTAGTAATGAATGAATCAAGAGATAAACAGATTATACTGAACAGTACTGAGATGGCTAGGTGTATTTAGTGGACAACAGGATTATTGGTTGCAAGGAACTCGGTTGCAAAAAAGAAAGGACTTGAAAAACTTTAGGCATATTCTGATGTGTATTTTCCATTACCCTTCTTCAGAAGCTGAAGTTGTATCTAAAACCTTGCCAACCTTCAATTAAGCCTTCAAAGTGGAAAAACAGAGCTTTTCTAGAATGAAAAATGTTATGATTTATGTTATGGAGCTTACATTCTCAGACTTTGCATCCATTGACATACTGCACTTCCAGCCATTGTTTATAAGGCCTAAGCCTCTCTAAACATATCTCAAGTTCTGAATTGTATTCCCAGAATGTCCTAGTCTACTTCATTCTTTTCTGGTCCATTTCATTAACAGAATGATTCCCTTTTCTCAGGAATAAATTGATACTTAGAAAAAATCAAGTTCACACATAAGCTGATTGAAGAACGCTTAAATAGAAAAATTGAGGCAGTTAATGCAATTAAAATGAGAAACAATTACACTGGGTAACCAACAGGACTTACGAGCAGTCTTGTACTTAAATGGGGAGAACGTTTTTCCATTTTCAGTCCTGAAAATTTCTTGAATTAACAGCATACATATTTATAGCCATTACACTGAGGTGTTCAATCCAAAGTGAACAATAAGCACCAGAAAAACTTCTGAAGGAAGCAAAAGTTTCTATAACTTGCTATTTTTAATACCCATCTTCTTCTCTCACAGCATTTGTACACAAGGCCTTCTTATTGATTTTCTTAAGTTCACAGAGCGGAGGCGTTCAGTGATGCGCATTACTGTGTAAACATATCAGCAAACATAGGATGGGCACGATGCCCTACAGTGCCTGATGGTATTGGCTGGAATATTGATAGGCCCACATTGAGTTCTCATCAATTAGCTTTGCCACTGTGAGCTTACCAACAACATAATCAGTGGTGCTTTCACTACCATTGATGAATATCTGGAAAATTATTTGGTCTTCTATTCCACAATGCATCTGGCATACTTTGCCATTACTTGAAAAAACTATGTCTGGCTTTGTGCCTAATCTCACACATGACAAAAGCTGAAAATCAAACCCTAGGTTTCTTCCAAGTATTTAGAACTGCCTCTGCGTCAGTAGGCTCAGTAGCAGCAAGTGCTAAGGGCCCAGAAAGTGATGATCAGCATGGGCAGGATGAGAAATGCTTCTTGGGTAGACAAGGACCAAGAGAGTGATGGAATTTGCTTGCAGGACTTGTAATGAGGTGCTTTCCAAAGAAAGTGGGTCAGTCATGCAACCCTCACAAAGGCTGGTACAGTCTCCCACAGGGAGAAGATTGTTTTATACAGGTGCTCCACCCATACTGGCAGAGAAACAGGACTTACTGACACAGGGAGGGACCAGTTGGTGGTCAGCTCTCCCTGGGACCAGCCTGGTTGAAAAGGCTGGAAGCACTTGCAGAGGTACATGAAGCAAAGAATGGAGTTAGAACATGAATTATTTTGCTTCAGAACTGAATTTAATAACTAAGGTATTGGGAAACACAAAGGACTTTTGAATGAAATGAATAGTTCTTTTGGCAACCTTGCCTTAGCACAGGAAATCCTCAAGATCTTTACATCAGTGTCACACCTTAGAGTTCCCTTTCAATTTTTCTGCAAGTCTCCTTTTTGGTCTTGAGTTTGAAGGCGGCTTGTGGCACTGAAGAAAGCAGGAGTACCTGGCTATTTGGGGTATCATTAATCCCATTCAGCTTCTTAATTTGTATGTGTGGAAGTTGGTTTTTGCTTGTTTACTGGAACTCTGCTTCACCATATTGCTGTTTAATTTGGCAGCTTTATCATTTTGAAAGAAAAAAAAAAAGTAGATACAGAAACTGATGAAACAAATAGAAACTTCATTGTAGTCAATGCTTTCCAGGGAAAATAAACATCATGAGATGATTTCAAGAAAATTAACATGATTATTTTCCTGATTAGTAGTTAAAATCTAAGTCGATCCTATCAGATAAGGCTAATCAGAAATATTATGCTGAGTTTTGCTTAAAGTAACTTTCTCTTTTTATTCTTTTTCTCCCCAAAGTTCCCACTATTTCAGAAGCATGGAACGGAGTATATCTCTTGCTTTAACTTTGTGCTTCTGCAAGGTTTATCAATTAAAACATGAAAATATTACATCAGGACTTTAGAAAGCAGTTTCCTGTAAGCAGATTTTTTTCTTTTCCCTTTGCATTCTCCTTAAAAGAAGGAAATTGTAAATCTTGAAAAGGCTCTGTTCAAGGCTTTGTAGGGATTAAAGCTTGGAGTAAGACAAGTACAGATGATATCAGTAATAACTTTGGCAGAACATACTATATATTTGTGTTCTTGGTTAAACATACTATGCCTGTCTGCTAGCAAACACTTCTGATATTTTCCTTTACTACCCTAAAGAAGTTATTCTTAAGTTTTGAGTGCCAGCCACTGGCGATGGGCTAAATTTGCAGTACCCAATACCTGTGTAGAGCACCAAAATAACCACATGAAACCTGACCCACACAAAACCTCAAAAAGGCAGAGCTGAATGTGTGCTGCTCAAACCTGAAGTGTGTCCTCTCTTCCCACCCCTGCTACCAGCTCTCTCCACCTCCTGGAGCTGTAAATAGAGTTATTCATGCAATGGAGACAGGGAAATAAGTTATAAAAATCCTCCAGTATGTAATGTTACCTCCTACAGTGCTAACCACAGTAGTAATGATGAGAAAGCTACATCTGTCATGTACAAACTGTCATGCTTTTTACTGTATATTGCTTTTTTTTTTTATCCTTCCACGAGCCTTAACATCATGAGAACAACTCCCATAGGGTCTAGTGGGCAGCAGATTTCTCCCATAATGTTTAAGTATTTAAACACGCATAAGCATTTTTCAAAAAGAGCCTTATATACTCCAGTAGTACACAGCACTTTAATTGTCCCTCTGCCTTTCTCTTCATGTGCTATTTTACGTGTTGCTCTAAAGACTCCTTGGATCATGGAACATTG